GGTTCTTCTTCCATGAAGCAGCTCTGTTGTCCTCCATCCATATTTTCAGTTGCAGACTGAGTCATTTTTGTGTTCCCCTCTGTCCTGTGGATGGAGGACCTCAGTGACAGGCTAAGCTGAGGTTCTTCTTCCATGAAGCAGCTCTGTTGTCCTCCATCCATATTTTCAGTTGCAGACTGAGTCATTTTTGTGTTCCCCTCTGTCCTGTGGATGGAGGACCTCAGTGACAGGCTAAGCTGAGGTTCTTCTTCCATGAAGCAGCTCTGTTGTCCTCCATCCATATTTTCAGTTGCAGACTGAGTCATTTTTGTGTTCCCCTCTGTCTTGTGGATGGAGGACCTCAGTGACAGGCTAAGCTGAGGTTCTTCTTCCATGAAGCAGCTCTGTTGTCCTCCATCCATATTTTCAGTTCCAGGCTGAGTCATTTCTACCTTCTCCTCTCTGTCAACGCTCTCTGGTTTCATTTAAAAGAATCGATCATCAGATATTGTCSAAGATTAACCTTCAGGGTGGATATAGCTCGCTAGCAGCCTCGCACCATAACGTCATCAACATCATCATTTACCCAGAATGCTTTGCATGTAAATAAAAAGGCTCCATTTGTATTAAAATATATATATTTAAAATTTTACTAAACCAAGCAGCCTACAGTATTTTTACAGTCTATTTTTTACACTTAAAATATAAGTTTATCAAAAGTCTAATGTTACAACTAATCGTGGATCCCTTTAAGTACTTTTCTCATAGGTGAAATTTATTTTTACCAAAGTCCTTTTCTGTTAAGGTGTTTTTACTTTTATTTAGTAATTTTTTTCCAGGTACTTCATAGCCCTCTGTCTGTACGGGTATTGGCCAGTGGTGGTTTTGTGCATACATGTTTCACATCAGTCTCCAGCACCAGGAAAATGTCCATCRATTTTTGTTGAGCACATTTTTTGTTAGAGTCATTTAAGGGGACTGAATACTTGCTAAATATAGCAACAAAGTCACTAAGTTGGTAAAGCTGATGATAATCATGAATATTTTACTTCATCTCTTCATAATTCATGTAAGAATTAAAAGACATGCTCCATTGCTTTGACACAGTATCAGAAACTTTTTCTCTGAACGCAGTCTTTCGCTCATAATTTATTGGCAAACACAGCTGTCTTTTGTCAAAGCCATCAGTTCGACAGAGAAACGGYGAGGACGCAGTTTGAAATGAGCCGTATTGCTCTTTCTGAAAGGCGCTGCTCAGTTTAGAGGCGGGAGCAGGTGGTGGAGCTGTGGCGTTCATATTTCCCAAGAGAAAGTTGACTGCTCTCCACCATAGATTGTATAAACACAGCAATTATTCTTGGTCCCTGGAAACAAGGCTGTTTTCCCTTCTGTACCGCGAGACATCAGTGAAATAAGAGCTCCTGATACTCTTGTTCCATTCAGGGAAAGGGGAATAGCTGCAAAATACTCAAAGAGCATATGCATAACACTCACAAGCCTTTTTCCTCTGCATTGATTTGGCAACGTTTCACTGCTTATTTGTTCACTTTGAACGTTTCACTGGAGACAAGGGACCTATATGCTGTTGCACATGAAACCTACTGTGTCTTGTAGATACAGAGTTTGTTTGGAACAACATCTACGACCAAAACAAATTAAAAAAACAAGCCTCGCGTTTCATTATAAAGTGTGTTTTCCTCCACCAATGAACTCTTCAGAGAAAAATATTTTACAATTCCCAGCACGCTCGACATAGACACGAAATCCTAAAAAGTARCCACATGAGTTGGCATACATTAAAACTGCCAAAAGACACACCTTGCAGGTAAGTCGATGGTAACAATCAAAGCGTTTGCTTTATCGCGGTCACAGAATAAGCCGTCAGGATCAATGATACCTCGGTGAGTGACGGCCGTAATCAGCCTCTATCGTGTGTCTTGTCCCGTCTAGGSGTCTCTTTTCTCCTTTTATGCGCCCGGTATTCACAATGCAGAATGGGGTATTTGACCAGTGTTGGGCAATCAATGTTAGATCAACAGAGCCAAAAAGAAATAAAAGCCCCCCTCCTCACATTTTATCCACTGCAMAGTCTAGACAGCTTGTTTTCCTTTACTGTGACTGATATGTAATCAATTTTTCAATGAAGCACTCTTGGGAAAGGACAATGCATCCAATTGGACCAATTTGAATTCTGTATCGCTTTTGTTTTCAAATGTTTAAACATATAATGAATTATACATGATTAAAAAAAACATTCTTCAAAGTTTTTCTGTGGACAACAGAGATTTTTTCCTCAAACTTACATAGCTGCAGGGAAACTGATCTTTCTATGTTTAAAAGGACCGTGGCAGTGAGAAGAAATGAATAATTGAGCAAATGTAATAGAGTTTACAATCCAAAGCTAGAAGTAATTAAGTTTCAGGCATTAGTGAGTAGAATTGGATGTGCCCTCAGTGGCATGTTAAATATGTCACTTGATTATTTGTCCTCTAGGTAATGAGTTTAATTTATATAACAATGCAGATATCACAGATATTAATCCTCATTATCACACCATATCAATATTTTTTTCTCTCTGTTGTCACTTTGTTTATCTGACTTCCTTCAGGAGCGCTCAATAGCAGCTTTTCCTAATTTACCATTGTTGAAAGTCACCAATTTGACTTCTTATTTTATTGTCGAATCCAAGGTGGCGCCTTTGTTGTTTGGTCAATCAATTCAGCAATTATTTCAATAAACAGTAAATTAATTGTTTTGACATGAGACTTGCCCATATATTTGCGCTTCTGTACGGGGTAATGCTTGCTAAGATTAATGTTCTTATTTGGAGCTAATTACGAAATGCCAATAGGTTACTGCTAAATGAACATTTAACTAATGCTCGAGGTAGACACACCGTGCATTTTTGCTTCGTGTTTAGTGAAGCTTTCAAACTTGGCCTATATTTCTTAGCTCTACAAATACGAGATCTGCAGCTGGAGCAGTGGGCATAATGAAAACACACGACTGCAGTCAGAGTAATAAATCCAGGAAAGGGTGGGCGGGGGGAGTTAAATGTATGTTTCATACATAAGGTGTAGTAAAGCATGACCACACTCCCACACAAACCAATGGGAAGGTGCTGCATCACCTGTTTTCACCCATCAGTTTGTCTGGTGAGCCTGCATGTTCGAGGAGTAACACAAAATGCAGCAGTGAGAGGAATTTTTTTTTTCAATGTTCACATATGCTGAATGGTGGCTAAACCAAAGRCTGCAGCCAAAACACACCCCAAAAACAGAATAATGGCTAAAATGGCAGAAAAACGTTTTCTTAA